TATATTGTATGTGATGCAGTGTAACAGCACATCAGTCCTGTGGGAATTTTATAATATTTTTTCTTATAAACTTCTAATTAAACCTGGGTGATTTCTAGAAGAGATAAATTGGCCCATCTTTCAGCATCATCTTTCTTCCTTGGTAGGAAATATCAGGTCTAAGTCCTACTAATTTGTACAGAAAAGATTCTTCAGTTTCTTCCAGAGTAAGAATATTTAGTTGGATTTGGATTTCTTATAAATGTAGTTTAGAAGGAAGAAGAGTCAAACCTTTTTGTGCAGCAAATACATAAAAATGTTTCAGAAGTGAAGAAACAAACATTTTAGATTTGTACAGTTTGACATCAGGCAAACTGAAAGTGAGGTTTTTTGATTTTTACAAGGACAGTGTTTGTTGTCACCCTCTAATATTGTGAACTCGCTATTTCCAACTTAAATTATTGATCACATCACTTCACATGGGCAGCATGAGAAGGGGAAGAGGTCTGTCTTTAAGGGATGCATATAAATTGAACCATTTTTTTTACAAATACAATAAATTGCTGGTTATAATGATGAAAAAGATCGCCTGGAATGGAGATTCCTTGCAGAACAGGAAATGGCCTTACTCAAGGAGACAGAAGCTGAATTGAACAGGGGTTCAGTAGGGGTCAGTTCTTTGGGGCTTTATCTCAGCCTAGAGGCATTTGACTCTTCTGGCAACTTGTGGTGGGAGATGGAAGGCTCCTGTACGATTGTGCCATGTGAACACAAGAGGTTAAATATGAAAGAACACGAAGCTATCGGGACTCAGAAGGTATTTGATTAAGTCCACACACAATATGCTTCTTAAGTTAGGAGTCTGAAAACCATCCCACCTCTAGCCTTGGAGATCTAGAGGCCGGATAGAAAGAGATCTAGAGCATTTCTAAGGACGGTAAATTTAAATGTGTTCATATATGTGTATCTCGGCTCCTCCCTGTAGAGTATGTTGTGCATAATGAACAGTTTTAAACTGTAAGTAGAAGAAGAGCACTTTCACTATGAAAATTTTATATTTCTGTATTTCATTGGCCAATATTATTTCATCATTGTTATTGTATCAACAAGCCCACTTATCATCCTGTGGTATCGCCTATTTGCAATACAGTGATCAGACTAGGTACAGCGCCAGTTTAATCACCTGAGAACTGAAGCAGAAATTACATATAACCTCAGGTGTGACCTAGAAGCTCAGTTTAACTGTGGGAAAATATTGGCAATAACAAGATGAGTAAGAAGTTTACAGTTCTTAGTAATGTTTGTTATGCAATAGACCGTGCCTAATTAAGGTCTCCCATCTCTTTGCATTTTATCTCACCTCATGACATTTGTATAGCAGCATTTTATAATAGAATAACAGTAAAGATAAAAATTCGAGTATTTTGATTTTATTTATAGCTGTGAGAACTTACTTTACAATTTATCATTCGGCCCAGGAATTCAGTTATCTTAAAAGGAAACTAAATTTTTCAATGACAAGTACCAGTTATGACTAAAAACTCAGCATTACCACCAATAAATCTAATCTACATGCATTAAAGAGAAAAATTTTCCTGACAGTTTTTTATTACTTTCTCCCACTGTAATATTTCATCTGTTTCGATATATGCATATAATCAAAATAAAGAAGTAACTGTTATATCTCTGTTTTGTGACATAGTACCTGTCATTCTTAAAGATTGCATTTATGTACCATATAATAAATATTTTTTTTAAATAATAGGTAATATTTATTTGTTATCCAGAAACACAAAGCATTCTATAGATCTTTTACAAAAGAACAGTGAATTGCTTTAAAGATGGATATGATGAAAGGAAAAACAAGGCTTTGGCTTTGAAAGGTAATTCATCTGCTTCTAAAGAAGATTCTACATGTCTGTAAAGAAAAAGGTTGAAGGCAATTCCCTGCAAGTAAGCAATAGCTATTGGGCTGCACTAGGCAAAACTAACTCACACACTACCTTCACACCCTTGACCTTCTAGACACATTTGTAGATAATGTTGATTCTTCTGACAGCAGACACAAATCCTCACAGTTCTGTGGGAAGATATTTCAGTTCTGCATTGAAACTATATATTCTGTAGCATTAAGTTGATCATTTTTGTAAGATAGAAATTTTGACTTATACAGGAGTATAATGCATGTTATAGCCTATGCTTTGCAAAATATAGCCATGGTCTTATAATGCTCATACTAAGATAAGTTTCTTCTGTATGGCAGTTGGAGAATGATCTAATCTGGGCCTAATCATTGATGTTTGGCAGCAAAGCAGCAGCAGCTTAAATTAAACTGCCAGAGTCAAATACTCTGAAAGGCAGTTTCTGGGTCCAAACTTTCAAGATCTAGATGTTGCTGAGAAAGAGAGAGGCAGACAGATTAAGGAGATGAAACAAAGACACACACGAGAAGCAGCTTCCTAGAACAATGCATTTGTTTGTTTGTTTCTGAAAATATCTACTGGAAATGTGATGTGAGAATACATATAAATAGAACTTGTTACCTTTGTATGAGTCCTGTTCTGAATATACATTGATATTAGGCTGGATTTATGGAAATACCAATGTTTCCCTTTCTCCTTAGATATTTGTAATATTTGAAAGGTTAGTTTAGTATTTGTTTACCATCATCTCATTCTACGTTTTCAGTACATACCCTTTCAGTCTGGGTCCAGGCACAGTGAAAAAAGTAATAAAATGTGCATTTTGTAAAATACATAAAATGTTATGTCCTGACCACACTTCAGGAAAAAATGCAAGCTTTATATAAAGTCATGCATTCTTTCAGCATGAAAGAAGGGAAGGAAACATGGGAGTATTTGCCTAGATTTGCACTGTCTCCTTTGTGCTACCACCTTTCTGCGATGACTGCCCTGTGTTTATCTGTAGCTGGAAGCAGATGTTAGGCAACAACAGTGGAAACTCTCCCAGAAGCAGCTTGACTTACCTGTGTACAGGTGCGCTACCTCCACACCCCTTCCGCACGCTGCTGTAATATGGCAGCATGTCTTGGGGTCCAGTTCTGTCATCTCCCTGGCATGGCACCCTCTCCATGGGAGAGTGTGGTTTGTAAGGCGTGGCTTTGGTTCAACAGACCTCATGAATATCTAGCGAAGGCTGAAGGAGAGGAAAGGAAAACAGAAGGGATATTTCTTCATGCATGAACAGAATGTTTTTAAACAAATTCATCTTGCTCATTTTAAAAGCCATAAATTTTTATTGCTACCCAGAGATATACCTATTTGCTACTTCCATTAAGGAGGCTGTATCTGTAGAAGTGTTGAAAAAACAGTATGCTGTTACCTCAATATTTTCTTCTCACATACAAAGTTAAATGTCATCTGGATGTTACTGACAGAATGTTCTGTCTCTTACCACAAGAAGCTGAGAATGTTATGAGAAGACCGACTCTTGTCCTGAGACAAAGACTGAAAAAAAGCAGGAAAGGTTAAGAGAAACCACTTCTCCCACAACACTCTGAAGAAGTCCCCCCAGATTCTTGTGACAACAACCCCATTTGGCTATCAAAAATCCCCAAATAGTCTCTATTATTTGAGCTGTCTGTCTGGGAACTCAGGCAGCTGATAGCCAGAATAAATCAGGAACAATCTGTTCGTGGATTATTCAAGACCCTGAACAAAGGAGGGTATCCAAAGGCTCTTGGAGACCTGGAATTGCATGCCAGTCTCCCCTTCTTGTCTAGCAAATGTTTCTGTCATGTGAGATCTATGCCTAACCAGGCAATAATTTGATGACTGTACCAATTAGACATAGAACAGTTTTTTCTTGGATATAAATTTTCACTAATTACAATGAGTCATCATCACTAAACGCTTTGGGGCTTGCATGCAATATTTTTCTCTCTCCAAATTTCAGTACTATGTTGGAGAGATTGTCACAAAAGTATTTTCCAGATGTCCCTGAAAATAGGAGTTGAAAGACTGTGGCAGTTTAATACAGACATTTCTAACTTCTGGAGTCACTCACTCCTAAAGATGATTGGATATAGATTGACTGGGACCATGGATGCTGAGGATGCTTGCCTGGTGCCAAGCCTGCTTTCCTGAAAGTTTCCTGTCTTTTATTACAAGATAGGAGAAGCCTGTCTTGTAATAAAAGACAGTCAGGGTAGTTGCATGATTTTTCTTAGCTGTGATTTCACACTGTATTGACACGAACTTGAGATGTTGCTTGTTTGACCAATGCCAGAGATTTCATGATATTAAGTTTGGGAAGTGGAAGAATGAAGCTGCAGGTGAACGGAGGGGCTGTTGTGGCGTGTGTAGGAGTTACTCCTTGGAGTCTTTACGTCCTGGTAGACTGGCAGATACAGAGCTCTCAGATGTACATCAATGGGATGCAGTGGAGGACTCAGAAAGGACTGGGAGGTTTTGAATCTTCATATAAACATTTCAACTAATGCCCAAATTGCTCTGAGACCAAAAGAAGTTGAACAGAGCTGAAGAAATTAATTATTCAGACTAACTTGGCAGACACAGACATTCACTACAGCAGAGATGGAAGTTTAGCATTTGAAGATCATTTTATTACTTTTTCTTTGCTCCCAGAAAAATGCTCTAGCACCTTTAGAAATAGAAAGTGCTTTAATAGTTCAAACTCACCTAAAAAGCAGTAAAGAATATTTCAGGTATAATATCTAAAGTTTTTCTAAATTGCATTTTTTCTTTCAAGAAAACCTAGTAGAAATATACAACCTTTAAAATTCATTATTCCTCTTCTTTGTCAACTTGACCTCCTATCTTCAAATTTGAGAATGGAAGATACAGTCCTAATAGTGTAAACCCTTTTTAAAACTTCATAAATCAAGGCAAAGAAATTCATGTGGAACTTTACACTAGTGACTCATTTCAACACTAACATACTGTCATAAAACGTATCAGTAGGATATGCTTTATACTTTTCACTTTATACTTTTTTTGGTAAAATGTTAACATGAACAACTTTTTTTTCTGTTTACCCAGAACTAGAGGCAGAGGAGTGGTGCAAACATCTTTGCATGGAGTGTCTAGGAGCCAGGCTCAATGATATAAGTCTTGGGGAACCAGATTTGCTTGCTGCTGGAGTTCAGAGAGAACAAAATGGTAAGTAACTTTGTATTTGCTCCTAGATCAGTTCTTAGGTGATGTCCCATGTTATCTTTGCTTTTGTTTGTTGTCGTGGGGACTTTTGCTATTATCTAGAAGCACATCATTAGTAACTAAACATTTGGATGTGTTTTTGAAGCTTAATCCTGTTTATTTCTACAAATAAGGATAAATAAATTTCATGCCAAATAGCATATGTAGAATGAATTCATGTCTTCATAGTGATCTCATTTTCCTGTCATGGGAAATAATGACCATGACCCTTCTGGTTCTGGGAATTATGGCCTCTGTGCAGAGGAATAAAACAACAGCTCTTGTTCTGCAGCCTTTTAAAGACAATGATGAACATATTAACACCAATTTGGACTGCAAAACACATATTTGCTTTAAATTCATACCTGTCTTGAATATTGCAGACAGGATCATCTAAATGTTGTCAAATATGGGTGAAAAGGGCAATGACAGATGCTAGTCAGCACTAAGCCTGAGTTTTAAATCTTCATCTAAGGGCTATTTGGATTAGACACATGCACAGGAAGAATGCTAGTGGGTGGAATATGCAATAACAAAAGAAAATCTGTGATTATCCTGTCATTTAATTCCTATTAATGAATACGAGGGCAACACAAAATGTGCTCATTTATTCCTCCCTAAATTACAACTCTCAATGATTATTACTGTCTTGATGCTTTTATAAGATGCAATAGCTTTCAACAAAGTAATAACACACATTGCCTCAATGGTCATAAAACATCAAGCCAACTATCATTATAAACAAAATTACATAATTAAATTATAGAATGAATGGCATTATATTGATTATATTGTATTAATTTCTCTGAACCTAATAGCATATAGCACAAAATATACAGAAATCTTTAAGGAATTTTGGTCAAAAAACAGATACGTTGAAATGTATAAGTTATATATAAGAAGTTCAAATATTTGTAAAATTATTTGCCTGCTATAAGACACAGAATTCAATTTGTAGTCTCAAACTACTTAACAAAGGGAGAGCTACTAATGTTGTAGGAAAGTGATAATGATCAGACACCACTCAAAGCATCCCATCTGCTGTATGTTCATAGGCCGTAGGTATAAAACTCAATGTGTGCTATTGAAGAGAGAACTTACGTGAGCAGGGGGAGCTCCTTCACAAATGTGATAGGAAATAAATCGAGCCAAAAGGCTGTGATGTGAGCAGAAAAATATCATGAAATTCCTCAAACTCTTCATGCAGTACATTCATGTACCATCCAGCAGCTTTTGGACATAGATCGAAAATATTACATTTTATCATGTTCTTGAAAGAGATCCAGTTACACACATGTGACCTCCAGGGAACATAGATTAGGTCTGTTGTATGAACTATTCTTGATTCAATTGCCTTAGTCTAGAAATTAATTACAGTGCTACCAACCAGCATATATGAACATAATTAGCATCTTTATTGTTCTAAGTAAATAAATAAAAGGAAACAAAGAGGCAAAGCTTGTATTTGTTGTACAAATCACATGAATAATAATACATGGAGGGTATCATTAGCTGTATTCTTTTAAAACAAGTGACTGAATACATAAAATCCAATATTTGACAATCATGCTCTACTAAATCATTAGTTACAGTATCTCAGACAAATAATTCTGACACCTATCCGCATCCTTCCCTCATCCCCTTGATGCACAACTTTGCATTTTAATAAGCATACTTAATATTCAAAGTTGTCTTGTTCAGAAGCAAAGCAAATTCTGTTTTGAGTGTCTTTTAATCAACTTGGAAGGAGGGAAAAGTACAGAGATTCTTACTATTGGTATGAAATCTGCCATTTTGTTCATTTATCTGGCTGTAAGAACCTGCAGTTGCAATCAAATTTCTGTAGCAGATTCCTTTAGTAAAATTGGTTGAGTGGAACCATGACTTCAGTTTATACTTGTTATCTTATTCTGCAAACCTGGCGGTATCATTCCCCATATGACAGTGGTATTAAAAAGGTGAGTAGTTGTAGGGTGGAATCATCTGGTGGGCTATAAAAAATTCAGATTTTTAGTTTATTTTCTGAAACATTTTCCCCATATTATAGATCTTACACACATGTTATCAAACATTGTAGTTCAAAAGATACCTAAAAACATTTTAAAAGTTTACTGATCTTTTGTTGACCTGAAACTGAAAGGCTAAAGTTAATTTTCGAATTGGAAATTCATGAAAAGTGACTATGTGTATGAAGCATCTAAAATTTTGCTCATTGTGAAAGTGGCAGTTGTGTCACTCTCTGAATAATTTCATTTTTTTTGTGTTAAATAAAAACTGTACACTGGTATAGTACCTTTGAATGTCATTATTTTGAAATATATTGCAAGTATGTCAACTTCATAGAATTCCTCTTGAGTTAGTCAATTTATTAATGTTTATTTGAAACAGACGTGAGAATACAGTTTGTAAAACCTGTAATACAACCTCAAAGCCTTAGCATCTAGTTTCATAAAACTTCTGTTGCCTGAACCATACAAGGGCTTTCTTTCAAGTCACTGAACAAAAGATGTCTCTTGATATCTGAACAAGACCACAGTTTGTAATAAACATTATAATGTCAAAGGTTTTTCAATTTTAGATAATTTTTTTTTTTACACTTTTAAAAGCTAAGAGAAATTGAATAATGGTGTTATACTGTTGATATCTCCGTGATATGACAAGTGTACCATTAATCCCACAACAACAGATGTATTAACCATTAATTGTATCTCATTCCACTGAGTTTTTTAAATGGTTACTTTGCCCTAAAGAGTTTCTGAAATGTTTAAAATTTAATAAAGATACTTCCTTGGTCATAGAAGAACTAGCCTAATAAGGTGGGATTTTCATGAGCTGCTTTGCGTTTTCCAGGCAATAATATTTTAATGTGCAATGTTCATCTGTTCAACTACTTGCCCATTCATGTCATTAAAGGACATTTGCATGGTGTAAAGGTATTCATTGAATGGATTGGGTAAATTGGCTCTCTCTTGAAAAAAACAAACAACAACTTTCTGTTCTGTAAGTTTGTGGTTTAGTTTTTGTATGTGACCACTGAGGGCGCTACCCTCAGTTTGCGACATTAGAAATAATTTTCTTAATTGTTGTTATATATGCCCTGGGACCATTAAAACTGCTACATCCTGCTTATATTTTTTTATACTCAAGGAATCACATTTCAGAAAATACTTGGCAAGGAAAATACATGTTTTCTATCATTTGTTTAATACCTCTTTTTATTACATCTGAGCCTGTTTATTGTCCCGCTCTCACTCTTGTGGTTCTCCTGAGATGAACTTTAGATTTCAGAAGGGAAGACACCTGATTCTCTGTGATAGGAATGCAACAGTATGATTTGCAAAAACCCGTATTTTTTATAGTTCTGGGTTGTTCAGTAAGTGCTAGTGAGATCTATTTTACTTTAGTTGCACTGTTGCTTGACCCTCCAGCACCAAGCAATTCTGCAGTGTTGACAACAAAAAGAGGCAAACTGTAGAGCAGCACTGCTTACAGCAGAGAGCTCTAGCTACTGTGTCTTGTAGGAAGTAGAGACAAGACATCTAAGCAGTTCTTGTGCAAAGCACATCAGTAACAAAAAGCTTCTTGCTGGATTTTACCTCCGTTATTACTTTCAAGAAGTATTACCATAAGTCTTGCTGTGTAAACTCTGATGCAGAAAATTACCCTTAGGTGGTTTTCTTTTTAGATTTAAGGCTCACAACTAATGGCTGCTTAGTTTGGCGCAACTTCCAATAAAAGTGAGATGTAAAATGAAGTTTCTGTTGCTGTCCAACCATCTCTCCTGCAAATCTAAGAGACTAGCTTGTGTTCCTCAGTCCTAAAGCAGCAACCCTGTTTCTGTTTAAAGTTATTTTCACACCAAACACTGTTTCTTAGTGCTTATGTATGTCTATTTGGATTATTTGCTAATGAATTAAAATATAGTATGATAGCAAAATCAGTAAAAGCCTCACCTCCTGATCCTATTCAGATATTTCAGTATAATGGCAGTGAAGCTGTATATGAAATGATAAGACAAATAACAGTACAGAGTTATAACTCCAGGAAAGAAAATCTGGACTAAGTTGGATCTTATAACACTGTTGACTTCTAAGCAATATCCTGTGATACCTACATACACATTTCATAATCCTTGGGTTTCTCAAGCTGCTGCTAAGCAAAGAAATTGTGAATGTAGAGTACTGACTTTGTTTAGGGGAATTGGAAGCTTCCTTTTCAGCTATCAGTGAATTTGGAAGCATTTCCAATATACTCCAAAATGTAATGACAAAACCAATTGTTTGGGTTTTTTAAAATTTTTATCTTCCCAGGTGACATCATATCTGGAATTTGTCCATGCTCACTGCTTCCAATGTGTCATTGTTTTCATTCTCTATAAAAGGAAGCAATTTCTAAGAAGGAATCCAAATGGACAGTATACAATGACAGACTATATTTACTGTGAAAAAGAAACCAGAATATTCAAGACAATATTGGTTAAAAAAAGTGTTATATGTAGACTATTGATAAATTCACTCTTTAGGAACAGGTGCTTCTTTTTTGTGAAGACTCTATTCCTGTCTATTTTGAATACTAAATAATAGCACTAACAAAGCTGAATACTTGTGCTAAATCATGTTCTATTAAACTGTACTTGTAAACGTGATTTAAAACCTGAAGAAAATGGGCAAATGGTAAAATGCAAATTTTTAAACTGAAGACAGGGCTAGATCCATCTTTTGCTGCTACAGCTAGTTTATTGTTACTTATCATGTCTGTGATATCAATATGATGCTTTTCTATTACATGTTTTGGGGTTTTTGATTTTTTTTTAATTTTACTGCATTATAAAGCTAATTTTGATTTTAAAAGTCTGGAAGAGATTAAAAGATAATTGTTTTTTTGCTTTTCCTCCCTGTCTAATATTTAAATTAATATTCCATCAAATTATTTCTTTTGTAAGGTTTTTCTTCTTTCATAACTTTGGTTTTACCTTCCTTTTTTTTATTTAAAAACATTCCACAGGAGTACCAGTCTTGCTTCCTGGATTTTAATTGCAAGAAGCTCCTTAATTCTTGTTAGTAAAAATGTAGCTTTTCATAGTGAACAACATCCTTGAATCCTCAGAAGAGGATTATGAGTTATTTCTTTGTGCTACATATTGAGATTACAAAATACAACCAAAGCATAGAGACTTCATAATTACATTCACAGAGCTGACTTGTTTTAGGGCATTTTCTAGAGTCTGTAGAATCTCTGTAATTTAACACATAAAAGCACTTTGAATGATTTTGATTCGTCTTCTGTTATCCTTAATCCATTTTCATACATCGGATTTGTTTGTTCATTTTTCAAATAAGTGAAACACAGATAGCTTTATTCAGAAAAGTAAGATGTTTACAGTTTAAATGGCTGATTAATCCAGTAAGACTTCAGATTCTTCTCTACCTTGCTGCTCATCACTGAAATAATTCAAAATATTTATCTGTGGCAGCCTTTATATTTTTATCGAGATGCTTATAAACATTTTCATACATTTTTAATGGAAGCAAAGCAGAATATTCATAATCAAAGGAAAAAAATTATTTCTGAAGTCCTAGTTCCTCACCGTGTACAGTAGAAGAGAAACATTCTAATAAATCTGACATATGAATGAACAAAAAATGTTGTGCCTTCAAGACTTAAAGTTCTTTTCTACCTGAAAATTAGCCACAGGTGGAAGCGTCATAGGTGGAGGAGTTTATTTCATGTGTAAACTGAGTATTTGCTTTTAAAGCCTCTTCTTATTTATATAGACCCCGCGAACCAGATTGTGTCCTTCCATAAGTAATTTTTTACCCATCATTAAAACTGAAATGAAACCAAGCATCTGGATTACAAGATTGCAATGTCATCTGGTTGGTTTTCCAACTGGAATGATTTAGGCAGAGGAATCCAGTGATAAAATGGCAGAACCAGGATCACTGCTTTTCGATGATTTTTCTTCCCCAGTACAGCAGGAAGGCTGAGAGCATTTTGGAGTTGCTGCCAAGTCTCCATCTCAGTCAATATGCTCATTTTAATAAAGACTCTAACACTCCTATGCCCTGGAAAACATTATTAAGTGTTGTATTCTTGCCAAAGCCCAAATGCTAAACACCTTTTCATGCACAAAGTGTATGATGAAGCATTGCTCTGCTTATTCAAGGAGATGGAAAAGAGCAGTTACATTGAGTGGAATAATAAATGTTGCAATATATCAGCATTTTTCTCTCATCCTGGCTCCCCCAGTCCCTTAACTTTGTTCTCACCAGTTTTCAAGGTAGGATAGGGGTGCTGAATGCTGAGGCATTGCACCTGCTCAGTCTCAGTCTTACCTTGTCCAACAATATCACATCTACTTGCTTGGTTTCTTCCATCGCCCTCCTTTCTGGGTCCCTCACTAACTTCTATTTGCTTAGTCTTGCTATCCACTGAACTCTTATTATCTCATCCCACTCATATGCAGATGGTGTCTGAACCACGGAAAAGCTAAATGAGCTATGGAATGTCATTCAGAAGATCTGGTGTCAGAATTCAACTGGGATTCCCAAATCTGGCCTATGAATATTTGTACTTACCTGGATAACTTTAAGGGCAAAACATACCACTAAAAATTGAATTGACATTACCTACCATTAGCTAATAGATACCTGTTCAAATATTTTCTGAAATGGAAAAATTGGACTCTGCATGTTGATAAAATCATTTAATAGTATCTACACTTTTCCCTGTCCTCATTTGCCCACTACTCAAAAGTATAGTTTTTGTTCCAAAAGCAAATATATCCATCCCAAATCATCTCCAGCACATATATTTGTACCCTTGGTTTTCTTGCCAATTTGATTACGTTCCAAGGGTGCTACATTTTGCCCTGCAGCTGATGTTCACTTTAATCAGACATACTTCCTTTAATCCATGATATCTCACCTTAGACGCTGACCTCCCATGCAAAGTCAGCAAATGTCCCTTGACAGTTTGAGGATACCATATGTCCTGACTACCCTTCATGCAATAATATCCTGAAATATTTCAAAGAAGTTGAGCATTTCAGGAGTATCCTGGTAACGTCTAAACCAAGCTGAAATGTTCTGTGCCTTCAACACAACAGTTTAATGTTTACTTCAGAAAATAATTGTACCTTTTAATTTTATCTGCTGTCAGAGACATTCTGTCAGCGAAAATAGAAAATAGAAAGATTTTCATTCTCACATAGTAGCCCCATTCCCCTATTGTGTTTTTTCATGTAATGTAAGAGAGAAACAGCTTACATGTCAGTCACCTGCATCTTTCTTTCAAATAGAGCAGGGAAGTAGCAATAATATGGATATTGAAAGGACATATATATAGAGATATATATAATTCCAGTGCAAGTATAAGTTATGTTTTCTTTACTATTCCCTTCCCAATGTGGTCATCAGCCCATATTCCCATGTGTGAGTCTTTCTATTTACTTTAGTAGGCATTACATTAGACCTCTGCCCCATGAACTCCTCTGAGGGTGGGAGAAATTCTTTTCAGTGACCTCAGCAGCTTCTGCTAATCTATTTGATCTGTGTGTCAGAAGACTTTTACACAATGTTTGGACTTTCACATTTGGGACCTTAATCATAAAATGAAACTTTTAGGGCTAACACACCCATTAGTCTGACTAATGAGAACTAGGGCCTAGGAGAAGAGGTTGTGACTGAATGGATCAACTGGGGAGTCATTAATAGGACAAAATTAAATTGACTGAAACAGAACAACATTGGGGATGACAAGTTTACTTATAGCTATGCAGGGCAGCAATTTTTACTGCTCACCCAGCAGTTCCCTGCTTTCACTGCTTCCTTAACCAAACTTTTGCTACTTTATTCACACACATGCACACTCATACACTTCTAAGATATTTACTTGCAATATTTTAATTCTTTTTTCAGACAGCTATATATATCAAATGTCTAAAAAATGGAGACATAATGTCTGTGATATTGAATGTCAAACACAAGGGGAAGCTGCATCTAATTTTGACTATTGCAATAAATTTCTCTCACTTTAATTTCAATTCCTTCCTAATCTCTGTGAGGGCACTGTGAGAAAATTCAGTTCAAATAGTGGATGAAAAGTGTCCCACACCAAACTCTAATTTCTTTTTCGAGTAATTGGAGACAATTTTCCTACGAGTTACCCCTTTAAAGAGCATTTTGTCAGTATCATTTGTTGAATGAGCATTGCTCATGCTCATACTTTAAATTATTCTTGCTTTTTTGTCAACAACCTTTAGGCAGTAACATTGACATTTTACATTTCTACCCTTTTCAAAGATGAAAGGAAACTGTGACATAAAAGTTGTGAATCAACTGCACTCTCCCATATTATGCTATTAAACCTCAATACTGCAGTTCATTTAGAGTTAAAATATAGGCCAGCACTTCCAACTGTAGCACCGGAAATTTAACAGAGCTTTTTACTCTTTGTAAAAGCAACTTACAGAAAAAGAAAATTGCATTTTTATTTAAAATTCTCTTGTTAGTAATGTGGTTTACTTCCTTCCATATGAGTTCATTGTCTTTTATATAATATTGGGGGTTTTCTTTTTTTTTTTCCTTTTTTAAGGATTTTTTTTTTTTGCGTTGCTTATTTTATCACATGCAATTTAGGCACTTCAGAAAATTATTATTGCCCTTGACTCCTACCACAGTAAGTGCACTTTGCAAGGGAAGTGCAGCTGATAGTGATTGATGTCATGACCATACTAATATGTTGTGTTGAATCAGATTTTTCAAGAAAGCAACAGATGATTAAAATTGTTAATTTGACAAATAATAATGTCTTTGGCAAATAAATAGAAACAATGCAAGGAATGTAATTATTAACAAGCTTCAAACCATAAACCTTTGTTTGCAATTTCAAGGACAGTTTTTCTAAGAGTCAATATAAGGTTGCAGATATATATTTTGTCAAGATACATATAGTTCTGGTTTTGAGTGAGGAGTCTCTGTCAGAGTTCATGTTATTGTAAATTTTGATTTGTAAAGGGTCATGGATGTTAATGATGTGAAGATAAAAGAGGATTTCAGTTAAGTTGCTGGGAACGTATGTCCAAGAGGACCATGCAGATCATCTGTGAAAGATATCTCAGTCTGCTGCATCATTTATAATGAAAATAAAATGAAGATGATTTTCCTCTCACTCTTCTCGTTTGCACAAGCAAGACTTTTTCAACGTCAGTGGGTCTTCACCTCTGCTAAAAGCTAGAAATTTGGCCTTGATTTCTGAACCATCAAAGCTAAAGATTTTATTTCAATTTTTTTTTTTTGCTGGTATAAAATCTTGCTTTAACCTGTGATGTCTTACCTTGTGTTTTTTTCCAGAACGATTCAATGTATATCTTATGCCTACACCAAATTTAGATATCTATGGGGAATGTACAATGCAGATCACACATGAAAACATATATCTCTGGGACATCCACAATGCCAAGGTCAAGCTGGTCATGTGGCCTCTGAGCTCTTTGAGGAGATACGGACGTGACTCAACGTGGTTTACATTCGAGTCTGGAAGGTAAGAGCTAAGGAGATGGAAAAAGAAGAAGAAATGAGCAGAGTTTTTTGAAAAGCAGTCTAATAAGTTAGATTAGCCTCTCATTATAAAGCAAGACAGAATAATGGACTCTCCATAAACTTCTGTTTGCTGAACATTACTTTTTAATATATTCAGCCCAGTCTTTGAAATAAATGTTACTATGTCTTATATTTAAAATGAGCTTAAGCTTCCTCTGACTTTTATTTAACTGTATTGAAATGTCGTTCTTAAGGTTTATGCGTCTCGCTGTGCTTAAACAGTAGTGTGGTATAATTTGAGTACTTTCGATGTAGAAGAAATTAATTCTAAATCATGGAAAAGGTTCATCACACAGTATGAATAGAATAACTTTTATTACAATGGATATTACTCTTTTTGAATGTTTCTGATGACTGATTGCCACCCTAGAATATAATTGCAAGCAGGAATACAGAGAACACTGTGAATCCATAAAAGAGCTGACTCTTTTTTCTGCCTGTAGTTTACCATTTCCATTCTCGGATCAGTTTTAAATGTCCGTGGAGCTCTGTTTTGCTTCTTTTTCATATCTTTTTAATGCATTTCGTATCTTGCCATTTAGTTCACTGCCTTTTCTTCATTTCTGCACAAAAATTATTCTGCATTTAACACTCCCTTTGGTGGTGTTTGATCTTGTATTTTATGGTTCTAGACTATTGTTCTTTATGGTTTGGTTTGGGTTTATTATGGTTTGTTATACTCCTTTATGAGAAGTGTGAACTTTCTGAAGCAATCTGTGAAATTACAGGTGTCTCTAAACTCTTGGGTTAGACACATTGTCTTGTTAAAAATCTTTATACACATTTTGATGTATACTTATTCAATATCATTAACAAATATTCACAAAAACGCAGTTTGTGATCAGAAGCAGAAACATAGATCAAATGGACCCTAGTGCCTAAGAAGGTAATGTCCAGAATTCCTCTGCAGTTTCTTATAGGTGGGAGTTACCACTTTACAAGTAATTTGTATATCCAGACTGATGTTGCTTGACCACTTTGGTGCTCTGTTACTTTTCTGTGATGGCTTCACAATTAAAAATCTTGAAGGCATCATTACTTTTTTTAAATTTGATATTTTTAAAGTGAAAATTAGCAAAGCTAACCCATGTTTCAACTTGATTTCAATGATTAAGCTGAGTGGCTTATTCAAATATACAATTTTAGCAAGAATTAGCATTTCAAGCCTCCTACAGTATTTTAATTCCATTTCAAGCCTCCTACAGTATTTTAATTCCATACTAGTATCTGAACATCATCTGCCCTTGCAGTCCATGGACCATGTGACCTGATGAAAGTGGATTGTTTATCTTTGATCTGATTCCTCCCTTTTTACTTGCTTGGGAGTACTTTCTGTATCTGATTTGGAAATGCTTAAAGTAAAAAATAGGGCTCGAGAAACATTAGTACCTTCAATAACATCTGAAGGCTATATAGGGCAACACTAATACTCATTTTAAAATCGGTTGTTGATTTGCTTGGGGTTTTATTTTTATTTTTTAATCAACAAATCATATTTCTCATCTTTCTGAACATGATTTTCTTTGTGCCCTGATCTGCTAGTACCTTAATACAATAAATTCCTGATGCATGTTGTTTTATCAGACGTGAAGCACTCATCCATGTTTTATGAGAATATTATGCAGTAAAAGTGTTGTTGCTTTAATTTTCCCCTAAGGCTTAAATATTAAATGTAGACAATTGCTTTAAAGGAAATATTTTTAAATAGGTTCTTATGTTTTAGGGAGTTTTAGCAGATATCCAGTATACGTGTATAAGGTTTGCATGAACATTAAAACCTCAGTTTCATATATTTATTATACATCCTGAGTTTTTGTATTACTTTGTTTGAGAAAATAAATCCCTACCATTAAAGTAAATGGACATATTCACAAAGGGATACTATGTTAAATAAATTAATCAAAATGAAGCTTTTTGACAAATTTATCTTTTAATAAACATATTGCTTTGCATTTAAATGGAATGTGGATTCAGATGTATAAAACTGAACCTCTCACTTGCCCAATGAAATGTAATGGCTGTACAATTTGAAGAATGTCTAAAATATGTGACGAATGGACTCAGATTCTTTTAATCTGAGAGATTTTTCTGTTTAGTTTTGCACTGAGTTGGAGTTCGTAAATATGTATCTTTGCACTATCTGTGAATTAGACAAGTCCTTGTTTTTCATTATTTAGTGAACCAATGAAAGTAAGTATTTCTTGCTCAGTGATTTCCTTAATTTTTTTTCTCTATCCAAACTCTGCTGAGATTTATGGGAAGCACAGTTTTGTGTGGCTTTGTTCAATGCTAGATGGAGAGATTCTCATTATTTAAAATACCTGATTAGGGAAAATCCCATACAATCTATCCATCGATCAGAAAATAGTAATTCACAGCTCCATTAGGCTCTGCAATAGCTTTGTGTGGATTAATACAGTGCATCTAACACAGTGAATGGAACCCATGGTAATTCAGAGTGCCTGAAGAGCTTAACATTTACCTTTTTAAGAGCTAGGCTTTCTGCCTAAGTGGTCTTGGACTGGGCTGGGGAGTTGTACTGACTTTTGCTGTGGTAGAGTTAGTTTCCATCACAGTAGCTAGTATGGGGCTGTGTTTTGGATTTGTACTGAACACACGGTTGATAACACAGGGATGTTTAGTTATTGCTGAGGGCTTTTCTTCTCCTCAGCCCACCCCACCGGCAAACAAGCTGGAGATGCACAATGAGTTAGGAGTGGACACAGCCAGGGAAGCTAACCCAAACTGCCCGAAGGGACAATCCTATACCATGTGGGTGTCACACTGGGCATATAAAACAGGGGGAAGAAAAAGGAATGGGGGTCACAATTGGAGTGATGGCGTTTGTCTTCCCAAGTCACTGTTGTGTGTGATGGAGCACGGCTTTCCTGGGGATTGATGAACACCTGCTTGCCCATGGGAAATGTTGAATGAATTCCTTGCAATCTTTTTCTTGTGCACATGGCTTTTGCTTTACCTATTACACTGTCTTTCTTCACTTTTACCCTTCTGATCCCCTCCTCGGTCCCGGTGGAGGAGTGAGCGAGTGGCTATGTGATGCGTAGTTGACAGCTGGGATTAAAACCACAACATGAATTTTAATGTTTATTCATCAATGAGTCACAGGATTTCCTTAATTTATGGATGTGTATAATGTATTCAGACACCTCATTCTTATTATTTTGGGTATTGCATATGTTGGAGACACTGTACCGTTTATCTGCATCGGTGCACTTATGTCTCTTGAAACTTTTGGAAATGCTGCTCCATGTACATGGGCATTAGTCCTTGACTGTCTCTGATTTAAAGCCCCTGAAATGGAAAGTGCATCTTTATGGAACTGCCCACCTAACTGTCCGTAAGGTGCTGTTAATTTGCACAGGATTGCATTAATTACATGCAATCTAAGAAACATGCCAGAAAAGTAATAAAACAGATACAGTTGAAATATCTCATGGTCCAGATTAAGTGTGAAGACATCCTTTTCAGACTCCTACCCAAGTCACAGGATTCATTTTGCTGATGTAAACCAAACAATTCATAATAAAGCCATAAACAATGTTTAAAATCCATTCTCTGGAAACTGCAAAAGGCAGTTGTCCAAGATTCCCTTTTAGCAAAATAAGCTGTCTGAAGCACCTTTTTAGGAGCATAAGAGGAGACTCCTAAGAATTCAGAATTGAGTCACTGAGAAAATTAAACACACATGGACTGTTTGTTCCTTTTAAAATATTCTTTCTTTTGCTTTACTGTAATTCTGCCTTTTACATTAAACAATATTTTCTATGTATGGAAACTGTCTGGTCAAGTCTACTAATCCTGGCCAGAAGTATAAAAAAAAAAAGCTAAAGTAAAGTTAAACATGGTGAGAAAATACAATGAGGGAATGGGCTGTGGAAGTTCCAGCCAAACTTTGTCAAATACTGTGAGCTTCCAGCTGAGTTGAGAGTTTGAGGCAGAAGGTTTTTCTTAGATTTTTGAGAACAGAAGGAGCCACAAATCCATGACACACTTCTTTTTCTGAAATATATTTTCTCTTGTTTCATAGACAAGATGTTGAAATACAAACAATTTCAAGTATTTCCAAGTTGTACATTCAGAACCCCACACACACTAAACTATTCCTTCTTTATTTGCGTTTGATTTGGGTTTTTTCCTTCATCAGAGAAAATGTAATGAAATGTGGTATTCCCTATCATTTCTAAGATCTGGAATCTGTTTCTTTGGTTGAGAAAAATATTAAACTCAAACATTATAGAGTGGTGACATGAGAATTTCTCAGATTTTTTTTTTCCCAAGACTGATGCACTCATTTTCTCAGTGGTAGATACACAGATGCTAGGGTTATCTGAAGCAGAAAGTTCACTGTTTGCCTCAGGCACTACATCTGACTGAAATCTTTCATTTGTCTGTCAGTCCTGTGTGGTGATTTTTGGTGTTAATGTGACATGCATTAGTCAATTAACCCTTAAAGTTCAGTTACAAAAAACATCCTCTTTTTCTCTTATGTGGAAGAGGTCCCTTATGTATGTGCCTCGTGAGACAGCTGTCATGAGACTTCATACACTGTTGTACCTATAAGCTCAGGTCTACACCTCCTTGAAGAGAAGCCTGCAATTCCTGATAGCTGGTGGATTATCTAAGTAGGGGATTAAGTTCATGTATCATGGGTTTTTCATAGAACTATAAATCATATATTATAAATTATTCTAAATATGATTATAAATCATAAACTTGTAATAGAGTTTGTAAGTCACTTTGGGTTAAGCAGCACTATGAGCACTTGTGCAGCTGCAATAAATAAATTTATCATTTCACATAAACAGTAGCTCAGAGCTTTCAGTGTCCCACACTTAATAGTTAAGTTTGTTAGGATCTTTTTCTTCTGTTATGCTTGTGTGATACTTTAAAAAAGCCTAATTACCCATGATGTAAATTTCC